CGTTTCGAAAACTGACACCTAAGACCCTATGAGAGTGTTGAGATGTTTAGGATTTTTTCTAATATTTACAATTGTAGTCTCGTGAGGAAGCTGCGAGATTGAAAGAGCGAGGAATCGATTCGACGAAATCGCAGCCCGCTAAGTTTGTTGGAATGTATAACAGATATGACCAAGAACGCTTCGGAAAGGTAACCGTCCACCATAGTTTAATGCTTCGAGCTCCTTGAAACATGTTCGATATGTTTTCAGCTGAATGAGTTCCAAACGATGGGCACATCGTCATTCGTTGGAACAAATCTCAGTTCGATCAGTACACTGGAGAATCGACCCTTGGACTGTGAGCCAACGTTAAGATTTTCTTTATTCTTCTGGTATATAACATTGGAAAAAAATTTGGTGGAATCTCGGCTCCTGCCGGGCCAATCAAGATTTCTACTCCCTGGAGACCCCCATGGCCAGCCGTGGTACGAGTGGATGTTCTTATCCTTCCAGACCAGATTTGTCTGGGAGGATAAGAGCAATAACACCGACTCCCGCTATTCGTCGTGTAGGCCACTTCGCATTCGGTGAGCCACTACGATCACGAACTGAAGTAGAATGCGTGCGGTATCCCCAAATGGGATTGATCAGTCCTTATGTCACTAGGTTGGTTGGAAAACAAAACAATTTTCCAGCGCCGAACGGCTCATTATTCTAGTCTTGACTGCAGAATATCTCAGCCAATCGGAATTGATACGCACATTCATTGAGCTAATGTTTTTCATGAGTAGCCTTTTACGGAGCCTGCAAAGTTAAACTGTATGATCATAACAAATCACCAAATGGTCATTCTGATCCACAGCGATGGATTCATTCGGTACAGAATCCTAAGACAGTAATGTAGAGTGAACTAAGAATATGTCCTTCTACGAGGATAAAACTGCACTCAACATATCAAGCCTAAAGGAAACTTGAAAAATTAGTAGTGAAGTTGATGTGTCGATTAGCATGGATTCGCATGTGGTCAGAGCAGGTCCTGTCGCTGGGGAGAATTTGTGCGAGCTTGTCCCCGTCATCCGCTAATCGAGTATATGACGCATACGATACTAATAAAGCGAAGTAAAAGCAAAATACCGCCGCTAAAATCTCCTGGCAAGAAAAAAGTCTGTGGGAAGAACGCTTCCCGTCGAAGCGACGAGCAAATGCGACCCGAGTAGGGATTTGACGTTGTGGACAGTGCCAACTATCAAAAAAAGGTTATCGTGTCGAAACGCGATCCCTTTTCCAACAACTACTAGATACGACCTTCCCCTTGGGATTCCTCTGAGAATGAGGTGCCGTGTCTCTGGTACCTCATATAAAAATTGATCTATGCGTTTGTCCCTATGGGAGATGCACCTCAAAACTGACTGATCCAACCTTTACCATTTCAGATGGCCCCTAATGTTTTCCCTGCTGTAATTCGACGTGGTTAATAGGTGTTTTGTTTCAATAATGCTTTTTGAATCTACTGGTTCCGAAAAAGGAGAATAATGTCGAAATATTAGCTCACTAAAAGTCTCTCTCCTCTTCGGGAGGCTAAGATGTTCACAGCCAGGGATATGGATCGTAGGTACCAAAATGCTGTTCTCTTGTTTGAAAACTGAGATTGTCGTTTGGAGCGACCTTTTAAAAAAAGAAGGTTTATCTTGAGACACTGGGCACGATTACTGGAAGCGGGTGGTTGTTGCCAACGTTTTTCGCGGAAGGAAGAGGACATTGTGGTTCATCCCCCGCATCTTTCCCCAATTGACGTTGGAGGCAAGCCGCCTGCTCACAAGCGATCGTGCCAACACTGCTTCGAAAAACCTTTCGTTACAAAACGGGCTGGCGTGATGCGAAACTTCTTTTGGCACGAAGCATAACTAGGTCATCTAGCTGGAGTTTTTTCCTTCTTGGGCTTTTACATTCGCCCCGCCCCCCCATTATTACAATGCCGATGCCTCTTAGCCCTGTGCTGCTTTGCTCCGAAGGTTCCAACTACTTTTATAAGTTGTTGTCCAAGTTTTTACTCCTCTCCAGCACCTGGTATTGTTTTAAATGTACACCAGAAAAATATCTCACTATGCAATTTGAAACGTTGGATGAGGGTTGTGTGATTTTCCAACGATGATTCGTTTGCAGCAGTGGAGAATCAGAATCCAGACGAAGCGGCAAGAAGAACCGCTCTGGCTACGACGATACCTCAAAGCGTAAGCACTCCTGATGAACCGAAAAAGCGAGTCAGCCGTACGCCAATCATTATCATACCGTCGGCTATGACTTCGTTATTGACCATTTTCAACGCTCAAGACATAATTCAGGCAAGTTTTGGAATCTCCTTTGCTTTTTCGCTGCATTCTATAGCATCTATTCCTGTCCAGGATATGAATTTCGTGACAACAGAGGAGAAAAGAAAGGAGAAAAATATGCAGCGAAAGTCTCAGATTTATATTCAGCGAAAGAAGAATGACACTTCAGATAGGTTTTTCCTCATTTTATCTGGAGGGGTGTGAGTTTCAGTTGTACCAGATGGAGTAGAACTTTTACCTCCAACTCAATTTTTCGTGATGGCCGGGAAGTCCATACAGCGGCGAGAGGGGCGTCGTTTGTGGAGACGCGGAGTGAAGAGTTAAAGGCACGTCCCGCGTTTGAAAATGACGAGATGTGCGGCTCAATTACTGATGACAAGATGGTAAAACATTAAAAAAACGAAAAGAAAACAGAAAAAAACGTCCGAAATGCCTATATCGAACCCACGCTGATCTGCATTGTAGGTGCATAAAACGAAGCATGGATGTGGTTGGACGAGTTTCCATTCTCGGTGTCATCTTTTTCTCCTTATCACCTCACTCTCACCTTTCGAAATCGAGCGAACCAGTAGCGGAACAAGCACACTACCAGAAATCCTTTAGAAATGAAAGCTGGATGTTGCGGTGGCCAGTGGACGGGGCGGAGGCCTCATTAAAAGCTTTCGCGCAACAGCGGATAAACGCGGAACGTGCCTTTGAATTCTTCTCTGGATACCATTGACGTCAGCGTCTTTGCCTTTGTCGCCATGGCCCACACAAATCGATTGAAAATATTCTTTCACGTTTTTTTTTCTGATAAGTTCGAGAAGTTTTATACTAATTCTGAACTTGTTCTTGTTTACTACCCTACCTTATTGTGGACCAACCGAACAAATTCACGGATGCGGAGTGGGATCGTGTGGTTGCAGTTTTCATCACGGTACGTTCCAATATTTTTTCCGGTCTTTATTCAAAGTTAAAAGTGATGTTCAGGGACAATTGTGGCAGTTCAAGCCGTTCAAGAGGTGGCACAGCAATCCAGTGGAGATATTTGCAAAAATTCCCGCTTTTCATGTTCATTATGATGATCTCAACGTGGGTTCTCTCCTAACTTTCTTTTTTTTCTATTTTCAATCTCTATTTAACTTAGAAATGTCTTTTAATA